AATATGAGAATAACCATAGCATAAGGCCGCTGAACCAATGAGCATCTTATATAAATCAATATGGCGACATTATGCTGAATGCTCATTGATCCAGGAGTCTTATGCTCTGCTATGCATTTCATGTGTGACAAACGTAAGGAAAATGATTGGTCCATTAGCACATGCATAAAGAAATGGATCAATTCATTTCTTTACACCTATGTAAGTTTGTGTGGATAAGCTCAAATCCTATCATTCTATATACAGGTCTGTGTGCGTTAAGTTTGGTGTGGGAAAGGCTACTGCACTACGTGCTGTGAGACGTGTGACTTATGCTCTTCACTGTCTAGCGCCACGCTTTATAAAATGGCCAAGAGGAGAGGAAGCCACCCGTGTAATTGAAGAATTTAAAAGGGAGAAAAATTTTTCAGGCGTTATTGGAGCTGTCGATGGTTCTTTTATACACATACGAGCTCCTAAAAAAGATGCAGCTTCTTATATTTGCAGAAAAAATTTTCATGCCATTCACCTTCAAGCTGTATGTGATGCTCGAAGTCTGTTCACTCATTGCTATGCCGGCCATGTAGGATCAGTGCATGATGCACGAGTGTTTAGGAACTCTTCTCTAGCCGAGTTCATTCAGAGACCGGATGAGTATTTTCCTTTGAATTCTCACCTTATTGGAGATGCAGCATATTCGGTTCATCCACATGTCATGGTACCATTTAGAGATAATGGGCACCTTACTGCAAGGCAAAAGAACTTCAATTATTGCTTATCATCTACTCGCATGCCCATTGAAAGAGCCTTTGGACTTTTGAAAGTGAGATTTCGAATTTTGCTCGACTCAATCTTTGTCTGCCTCTCACTGATATCACTAAGATACCACAGTTTATTATTGCATGCTGTGTAATGCACAACATCTGCATACTGAAAAATGACAATGTTGATGTTATTGTCTATCCCAATCATGAGAATATTGTTCCCAATATCGTAGAAACACATGCAGATTTAGGTAACCAAAAGAGAACGAGAATTATGAATGAGTTAAGAATGAGACTTGAGAATGAAAATAATTAGATTAAATTTCACTTACAAAAATTATATAATTATAAAATTCTATTTTTATATCAGCTCTAAAATAATAGAATATATTATAAAAATGTTTTATACTTCTACAAATTTATAATAACTTATAATAATGAGTCTTATATTAAACTTAAGCATAAATAAACATGTCATATTTAATTTGATTATTAAAAGACGTTTATTATAAGAGTGATACTTTATTTTATAATAAAAGAGAAAAAAACTTTCAGAATGCGACATTTCATATGCAATAATGACACTAAAGCAGTTGTAGTGTTTGTGTGAACATAGAATTACTGCAACACTGCCTTATTGTTATCAATCCTTAAAATTATCGCGATACGAGACTCAGGTATTGACAATTGATAATGTTATGCAGAAAAATACAAGCCGTTGGCGGCTTGTATTTTTCTGCATAACATTATCAATTGTCAATACCTGAGTCTCGTATCGCGATAATTTTAAGGTAAACGCGTGTATGTAAACAATAGTCCATTATATCACATCGAATATGGCAGTTGAATTTTATAATAATTTGAATATTTTGTCGTCGCATGAAATGTATATTTAATAGCACTAAGTATATTTTATATAGTTTGTATGTTTAATATCCAAGATTTGTAATTCTAAATATTGATTTTAAGTGTGTTTACATTTTATTACCTTTCTTTTTTAAATAAAAATAGCAAAAGAAAGACAGTGGGTGTATCCAGAAGCGTGACCGTTCACTGAGCGCTCAGTGAACTTCTGCATCTGATTAACATATTCCATTAGATTTAAAAATATAGTTCAAGTAGGTACAAGAGACTCATTGAGCGCTCGTTCTTCTGGATGCATCCATTGAATATATGTATTAAGTCAATATTCACAGAATTACAATCTTGAACAGCAGTAATATAAATGTAAGCAAAAAATTCTAATTGCATTCATAACATTATTATCGCATATTATAACATTTACATAAAAAATAAAGGACAAAGTCTAAAAAAGTGACATACAAAGAATATATTGTATAAAATTATTACTTTTAAAAGTACTTTCACTTACTTTTACTATTATTAAAATTTTTTTAAAGTATAAACTTTCACGTTCTGAGAAAAATAAAATACATAAAGTATAAAAACAAAACAAAGGATGCAGTATTATAAAATATCTCGGAAATATTAAACAACGTTAAGCACATATCAGATTATACAGTAAAGATTAAAATTAATGATTGAAGATTGAAAATTAATCAATCAGAGTAAAAGGAATTAAAATTTCTTTATTCTGCTTGGTCCATTTTCTATTTTTGATCTTTAATCTTAATGTCCAATGCATAATTTGATTTGAACTTTAAACTTATCTGAGGTGTATATACGCACACATACAAGAAGCAAAATAAAATATATCTTGACTAGGATGATGCAGTCTATATAAAAAGACAACCCTGTATGGTTACATCAGCTAGATTCCTAAAGCAAGGTCTACAATAAGTTGCAAACACACTATCGTCAATCGCAATGCTTCGTAACAGTCAATCAGAAGTGTCAATAATAATTAATAATGTCTCTGATTGGCTGTCACAAAGCATTGTAATTGATAATGAAGTTTGCAACTTATTATAGACCATGATTACCTCTTCTGTAACTTCTTCCTTTTTGCGTTCAACAACTTTACTGAGTACTTCAATTAAAGATTGCTGCAACTTCACTTTGTCTTGATGCATTTTCCACTGCTCTTGTACAATCTGCTTCTGTCCTTCTTCCTTTTCTGCTTTTTTCTCAACTCTTCGCTGTTCTCTCTCATCCCTCTGCTTCTGCTTATCTTTTTTCATTTCTGTGATGAACGATTCCAAAATAGATTCCACTCGCCTTTTCTTTGGTTTTTGTTCATCTACTGATATTTCTGACAAGGTGGATGAAGTGCTTGGAAAGCATAGATCATCGCTGCTAGCTGTTGATATAGGTGCTACCCATGCCTTTTCTCCAAATATTGAATCCATAGCAGAGTAAAAGGCCCAAGAACTTGAATGGTTACCTGACTTTTTGTTGCTGTCACTTATATTTTTATAAGTTCTTTTTAGTCCTGACATTTTATTTTGACATTGAACAACAGTGACATTATAGTTTGCCATCTTCATTTCATTGGCAATTTCTAACCATATTTTGTTATAACGTTTCAGACCCAAAGCAAAAGTAGGCTCTTTATTTCGGTAAATCTCCAGAAATAAAAGAACTGCCTCATCTGGCCAAATATAAGATTCTTTCTTGGCTTCGTCTACTATAGGTGTATCTACACAGATTATAGATTCTTTTGATTCGTTATGTTCTTGTTCTTCATTAATCGTAGCTATACTTCGCCTCTCGCTTTCCCGGTCTACCAGAAGTTTAAGAACTTCAGCATCTATCAAAATAAGTAAGATTCTAATTACTGAATTTTACAAAAAGTGGAAGCTACT